AACACACTAACAAATCTTTAAATGGACATCGTCATGCAATGGCAGTTAGAAAGTTAATGTAAATTGAATGAAATTTAAAAGAGTTGGTTATCGCTGCTGAAAATGTATCACAATGTAACCATGACATTGTGGTTGTATATGTGTTCAGCTAAATAATTAACCTAATTCATAAGAATTTCAAATATTAAAGAAACTAAATCTCTACACTAAATGTTTGAAGGGTTTTTAATTTTATAACCAATATCACAGCTACAGATATATAACATTGATGTAGATATCATACTGTGTTATTGTGACCTAAAACTAAAGAAAACAAAATAAACCCAGTTTTATAGTGTACAAACATTTTAAATACACTACTTAGGTAGATTTTGTTTGTTTAAGAGGATTACTAATACTTGTAAATATCACTCTGAATGTAAAGAAATCTATCAAATAAATACTTCAACAGTTTTTTTATCGATTCTATATATTTAAACTCAGAGCTCACATGTAGCCAGTGAAAATCTATGAGAAGCTAAAAGTAAAGCACTCCTGGGTGATGTTAAAGAATTTTCATTTAAAACAAATTGTCATTGTAAGACAGTAGTTAGCAGTAAATTCTGCAGTAACTAGCCAGTGGTTTTAATGGTGAGCATAATCAAACTTTTCATATGCTAGCCAAAATATAGACAGGTCTATGACACTAGTACAGATCAAGGTCAGTCTGCATTATCACGACAAAACTTTGCGATCAGCCAAATCATTTAAACAATACAAACTGAAATTCATTAATTTAACAAAAATAATGAATTTAATTGAAGGTTCTGAATTAAAAGCAGGGAGCATATGTAATTATTATACACACATTCAGTAAGGAACTTGTTACAACTTACAGGTGTACAAGAAAAATTATCTAAATTAATAGACAGAAAATGAAGTTTTATCTAAATCAATGGACAAGTATATATATCCAGGTTGAATGAAAGTGAAATTTACCTGAGCTACAGCATTACAAAATTCTAGGGAGTTCAGAAACATGGCCATTTCAGGAATATTATGAACATCTTCATCTGTAATTTGACACCAGTCTTCTGATGGTATAATTATTTTACGAGGCAAATCGGAATATAAGCCACTTAGCCCTGTGGCCAGCACCTGTAATAATATCATAATATATTCATGAAAAATTACAGATTATTCATAAACTTAAAATAAAACAGCTCTTACTAATACACTGAAAATTGTTTTTTTTAACTTAGTTATTGACTACTTAAAGATGGATTTGAATTTCAACCTGTGAAATTATTACAAAACCCAAGTCTAAACATTATACTAATAAACACAAAGAAAAAGAATACATGTATAACTTCCTGTATTTGTAAAAAAAATTTTTTATATATAATATTGAAAGTTAAGAATTTTATCTTACTTACAGGACAGAAATCGGAGTTCTCTGCAATGTACTCTCCAATATAAGGATGTTTGGAGGATAACGTCATAATCAGTAAGAGAGCATCTCTAGCCTGTTGGCCAACTTTTCCCTCTCTATGTAGGTATGGGATGAGCAGTGAGAAAATAAGAAACTTTGTCGGGCCATGATCTGCATTCATGTTGAACACACTCTCCAATATAACGGTCTCCTTGGATATGCTCACACACAGCTGGTGTAAAACAAGCACTAAACTAGATTCTATGTTACCAGTACAGTCATCTGAACAGTAGGCCAGAAGGTTTAACAGTGGTCTTATCACAGGTTTATGAATTAAAAGAAGTTGGTGGGACTGGCTTATCAAGTGTTCAAACATTCGAAGTTGTTCCTGTACAAGTTTCCGACCATCATCATGGTATCCATGACACCATCCGCAGAACTTTTCTAATATCTCATGTTCTAACAGGTAATGCAGGATAGCACCTGGCATACCTTGACCATCTTCTCCATCTTCCTGGGCAAGTAAGGTGATCATTTGCTCAAAGTTATGACTAACTGTATTAATCTCATCATCTGTTGACTTTGTACCTTTCTCTACATCTCTATTTATTATACTGTAAGCCTGCTCCCAGTGATTTTGGAACACCTCCAGGCAAGTGGCTGGATCTGTGTCACGTCGGCTACGACGCTCCATTGGACCTTCACTGTTTATACTGCTAGCATCCGATGAGTTCTTAGACTCAGACCTCTTTTTAAACCAGCTCATTCTGAATGTTTTACTGACATGACAATACTCACAAACATATTGTCATGTTTTATCAGCCAGTCACTGAAATAAATAGGAGCAATGTAAATTGTTAATACTAACTGGCAAATCATGACTTGTTTACTAGCAGTTAAAAACTCTTTACAAATTTATTGATAACAGACAGCATTGATAATTTACTCATAACTACATGTTTAACATTCTATGCTGCAACAGTTAAAGTCATGTTCTATCGCACCCAATTGGAACGGGTCCTGTATCCACCAAACTGGGAATTTTTGAGTCGTTAAAAGGGCCAAATTGGGAATTTTATGTCAGGTCTTTAATACCGTATAAGTACTTTTTTCTGCGGGAACTTTATTTCTGCGGTTCTTAAGGACACCGCAGATTTAAAAACCGCAGAAAATTAAGCCTTTCACTATGTCTATGTCAGAATATGTCAACTACCGGTATTGTATAATTACATTACCATGTACCGTTATCGGTTTTGTAGATGGGAAGTTTTCTTATGTGTCCGTCATGAATAAAATATTAGAAAAAAAGTTACTTTACTTGTTCTTTTTGTTTAAATAAATATCATGTTTGTATGATTTTCGCTCACCCTAAGCTTGATTTTTTTTGTAAAATAAAACTATTATAGTTTGACGCATGCTATAAACAAACCCTTTTGTATTTGTACAATATCTTGTGTCTACGTGCGATTTTACCATTGTTTATTTTTCACACTTCATATTTATACACATGCAGTATTACAATTAATTGTTGTCATTGCACGTTGTTAATCTTTGTTTATTAATGTTTATATACTGATACATGATGATTACGATAAAACACATTAGAAGTCGCCTGCATGTTTACCGGAAGTAATGTACATGTTACATCAACACATCTTGAAATGTTGTCTGTTTTTTTAAAATATCTAAATTAAACCGCAGAAATAAAAAAACATCAATGCTAGAATGATAACACCGCAGAAATAAGATACGCAGAAATTTAAAACCCCTTATTTTAACAAAAATCGCAGAATATTAAGCCCGCAGAAATAAGTACTTATACGGTAACAGCAAGAAATGTGAATTATCCTGCTTTCTTAAAAAAACATCCAAATGTGAATTATCCTGCTTTCTTAAAAAACGTCCAAATTAAAAAATTAAATACTATGAAGGTTTGTCATAAATTGATCAATAAATTTAAAGTCTGCCTCATAAAACAATAAAGAAGGAAAGTATTTAATCTTTCTGAGGAGTGTAAGCCCAGATTACAGAAGGGTGCATTTAGCCTATTCGTTGTTTGATTAATATGATAATTCTTTAATTGGGAATTCTTTTATTCATTATAAATATACTTTTTCATATTTATATAGATCTATTAATAATAATTTTTCATGTATTTTTTTCATGTTAATAACATACATGTATAACATTATTTTATTGTAAAACATGACATGTTTCAAGATAAAGACACTAGCTGCATATGATAATTTTCGAACGAATGTTACACCTGAATGATGAAATACTTTAGTAGATAATTTTATATTGAATAATAAATTACAAAAAAATATTCTGATTGAAGAGAAATTAATTAAAATTTATTTTTTAGTTGAATTAAATTCAAGTATTTTTACAATAATCTTAGGGACATAAAAATAGCAAAAGTATTTAGATGTACTGTAATTTTGTCCCTGTTTAGCCATAACCCAAAACAAATTGCATTTCTATGGACAAAAACTCGCATTCAGCGCATAAAATAGTTTGATGGTGTTCATATTTTTGTGGGTGTTTTCCATACAGGACAGACGTTTCACTTTTTCAATTCAATTCAATATTTATTTGGCATAAACATATACAATGTTCATCGCCAATACACAACTGTATGGCAGATATAATGTACAATTGAGAAAAGTATGTTATTATAAAGTCACAGTTGTAGATAATACATACATTTAATAATTGATTAGTCAATAAATGACATTAGCCTTATATAATTTTTTTGAATTATTTTACAATATCACTATTGAGATGGTTCACACCAAGACGGTTTTAATTTAAAGCATATCAATCTTGTGACAACAATTAACTTTGAGTAACGTGTTGTTTTTTTTTTTTGTTAATTTTAAACATGGGATAAAACATTGTTAAATTATTTAATGCTAGTATATATAGTGCTTTTGCGATAAATGTCAAAATTTTTAATGGCCATAGAAATCAGAAATATCTTTAAATTAAATTAAATGCAATGGGACTTTTTCAATATTTGTCATAGATTATCATTTTTTGTGACTAAAATTCATTATTATATAAACAAAACTTATGGAGAAGTTTCTGTGTTTAAATTGGCTGTTGTCAAAATATATTTTAATGGTCCAATAAGCAAACTAGTCAAATCGGCCCCAAGTCAGATCGGCCCCAAGTCAAATCTGCCCCAAAATTAGTCAAATCGGCCTCAAAATTAGTCAAATCTGCCACACAACAATTTTAAAAAGTCAAATCGGCCCCAGAACTAGTCAAATCGGCCCCAAAACTAATCAAATCGGCCCCAAAACTAGTAGAATGGGCCTCAAAACTGGTCAAATCGGCCGTAAAGTTATTTGTTGGTTATTGAAAATGACTGATAATTGTATAGACTGTGGAAGTGTTGTGAGGAAACGGCAGGAGGCAGTCACTTGTGATGCTTGTGACAGATGACAACATAGGAAGTGTCATACCGGTGAGTTACTTTAATTGACAAAACTTATCAGGAGTAAAAATATTGCCATTACATTTGAAAATATATCATCATGACTAACAGGTTTAAATACTTAAAATATTGGTGAATTAATTGCCATAGCAAAATAATAAAAAAAATAAAAACATAATTATTTCTAAATTCAATTTTTTTAAAGAGTAGTTTTTAATTTGAATTATAGTTAATTAATAAAAATAAATAGAGATGCAATGCTACTGGATTAACGAATGCGTGATACAATTAACGGTAATTAAGTGTGAACAACGTGCTACCTGATTAAACGTTAATTTGATTTGTCGCACATGAGTGGATATAGAACACGCAGACAATATAGATATATAACATATATGAATGCATAATTAGGGATTTAATTGATGACCATCATATTGAAATTATTATAACATTATTTCTTGGTGCATGCATTATAATAAATATACATGTATTTGTATGTTGTGATGATGGGTATTATGCCCCAGTCAGAAATAAGGTATATGCTCTGTTCTGTTATGTCATTAGGTATTCCCATCCACACAATTGTTTTTTATCAATATATATGCAACATTAAAAAAAAAGAAAATGAATAAAGAATATTTCAAAAAAAAAATTGGGCCGATCTGACTTGAGGCCGATTTTACTTGAGGCCGATTTGACTATTTTGGGGCCGATCTGACTTGGGGCCGATTTGACTGTAAATCGTCCAATAAACAACTCATTAGCTGAATGTTGATGCTTAAGTGCAGTGTTTATACAACAGATTAAATAGTGGTGTCAAACTGTTAGGTAATGAGATAACACTACAACTACTTAAGTTTGTTTAATGGCTACTGTTTAATAAATTGATGAAGACAATAATTTTAAAAAAATAATTTATTTTACACATGTTTCGCACTTCGTTGTTTAAGACTTACAAAAAATAATCATTATATAGTCAATATATTTAATATATTGATATTTTTTTATTATTTGAATAATATCAATTACTTTACTGGTAGTGATTTCAATATTTAAACTGATACTTATAAAATGTCTTTGTTGTTCTTTCTGTTATTCTATTTTTTTTTTAATTTACTAAATAGAATTTTCTCATGTTGTTACACTTATAATAAAAGTGATATTTCAGAAATTTGCCTTTCATTTACACCTCTTATCACTCAACCCATAATAAGATGAGTAATCTTCTAATAATTCGCATTAACAATACCATTGAAATCAACAAAATGAAATATTAAATTGAATTTCATTTTTACACTGTTTGATATTAATGAAATTAAAATTTGTTAACTTTCTTAGTAAACATCTCTCAAAATTGGGAGTGAAACGTCCATACAATTGACAAAATGGGAGTAAAACGTCTAGGTGTGAACCGTCTTGGGAGTGAAACGTCTTGATAGTGAAATGTCTTGGGAGTGAAACAACGTCTGACATTCAATAAGTACTACCAAAAAACATTATTGTTTACATGGGGTTATAGAAATGATGCAAAAAATAACTAGAATGTCAAATTTCCCAGTGACAATTGTAATTGCCAGCGAGTGCTAGTGAAATACTGGAGACTTTCACACTTCAAGAATTGTCATAATAATCATCTGATCATGGGTCACTTAAAAAACATCTTAATCTATATAACCGACTAAATAATAATAGCAGAATCTTTATTTGGATGAGAATATATTTGAAATTTGGGATAAAAACTTAAACAGATAAATGATAAAAAGGCGTTTTTGCCTGATCTCAGTGATCTGGTGAGATAATATGTGGCAGATATTGCGTTTCCATTATTTTCACAGCGTTGCATCTTCTGAAAAATGTGTGATCTCAAATAAACTGTTTTACTTGTAAACTTACAATTAGCAAATCAGGTTCATATGCGTTCTAATGTTTGATTCATCACGAATATTTACAAATACAGGTAAAATTAAAATCTTGACAACTTGCTAAGTTCAAGGTCGAAAAGTCTGAGTCGGACAGATGCTTGAAAAATTCTTAATACCGAAAAGACATTTGAAAGACGAACAATTTTTTCTCCTGAAGATTCACTGTTCTTTTCATTCCATTCCCATATTCTATTCCATTATTTTATATTTATCTATTTTTTTAATTCTCTATTTTACTATTCTATTCTCTCTTCTCTTCTATTTTCCTCAATTTTATTTTATTTTCTCTATTCTATTCTTTATTCCATTCTATTCTATCAGGGTCTTTTATCAGGGTCTTTCAAATAGAAAGACCCTGATTCTATACAGTATAATTAAGTATTTCCAGTGGAGCAGATTTTTAAGACATAATTACTTATAATGCAGTCTTAAGGCGTGATTTACATAGCTTTTGAAGAGGTATATTAACTTGAATATATTTTTTCCAGATAAATGTACTGTACCATTTGATGTAGGTTTAGACCACTAATCTTTGTGCAAAAGTTCAGATCATCCAAGCACTTCATTTTTCCAGAATAATTATTCAAATTGTAAAAAAATGACTCAAAATGAAAAGCATTTTATCGCTTTTCACTCAAATCGGGCTAAGAAAAACATAAACATACGATTTCAATTTATTTCAAAGTATATTTTTTAATAATCTTTGCATAATTTTTTGTTTAAAGTGCCCAGCTCATTTATATAAGTAATTCAAACGTTGTTTTTAGGCTTTTAAACCTCAGTGGAGTCCCTTTAAGTTTAAAGATTTCATTTAATACACCTTTTAAAAAACATACAATTGGATCACCCCTGGTAGCTGGCATCGTACATGCATGGGGGATTTTAGTATTTATAATTATATCATTACAATGAGACATTGTGTCACACACAGGAAGCAGGTCTCAAGGTCAAAGGTAACACTTATATAGAGGTCACAAGAAAACGCTTAATTAAGGGACAAAACTTCAATGTGCATTGAGAGATTTTAATATAACTTAATTGGTACAAATTTTTACCATTATAAAATACACGTCCCTTTGACCAAGGTTAAGGTCACACTGAAAAGTCAAAGGTCTTGTGACCTACTTACCTTCTTATGCATTCGACTGGAACCAAATGTCATCTTGGGCCTGTTTTTGTGAAGGAGTAAGACATTGTGTTGTTAACAAATTTTCCTTCATTGAATTATTTCAAACCTTTTATTGAATCAATTTTTTTCCAGAATGCAAAGGTGAAAGGTGGTCTTATAGCAGTTTATTGTTCACACTGCAGACTAAATTGATGGACTTCAGAATACATTGCCAGGTTTAAGGCCATGAAAACTAAATTATGTACTCATAATTTTAAGGACATTGAATGATTTGGACCCTTGATAATAATTGATATATGGTTTTAATAAAAAGTAGCAAAGGTATAAATATATGGTGATGTAAACATTGTAGTTGATGATAAAACAAAACAGAACAAATCTTTATAGATTTCAATGTTTACTGCAATATTTCTATAAGCTAAGTTATTAACAAATATTAATAAATTAGCATCTATATTAAACATTTGAGATAAAATCATACATAAATAATTTAAAAGAGTAATATCCATAACATTTTTATAGCACTGAATGAGAGCTGGTAAACTTGACCCCTTACTCCATCCATAAGTTTGAGTATACCACTAATCTCTTTCACTGTGTGAAAATAAAGCATTCAATACTTTCCAAATAACTCTCTGGGATAAGCATTATTAAGTATTATAAAGTGAGAGGCTGAAAAACTAAATAATATAGAATTCTGATTCTTTAACACTGCACTTCTTCAACTGTGTGAAGTTTCAATGAAATATAGTCAAACTCTGAACAAGCATTATTCATAATTTTTATCCGCATTTATCCTTAATAGGATAATGAAGAAATTATCAAGCTTTTTTAGGTAGCATTATGGTTCTTTAACTTTCTTTGCTTCTACAAGCACAAAAACCTATTATAAGCTAAGTGACTTTTACCCCCAAAGAGCTCAATAAAAACTTAAAGAGGGCAAAGATATGTGCAACTCCTATCAAACACCCAAAATATGTCAATAAACAAATGCTCTATGATGGTAAATACTAACATCTGTTTTCAGTCTCGTTGACCTTGACCCCTAATTGACCTCACACCTCAACCAAGGTCCCATGTAGTATTCAGTGCATGTTTAAGATGTAGGTCAATAAGTGCTATTATATAGTATATATGTGTTATATGAATAGTACATCATTGTCACATGTACAATTGATGTAAGGGTAGGCAAATCAACAATTATATCACCCCAAAATTATAATGTGGAGCATAAAATGGAAAATTAATAATAAAATATAAGTTCTCCATCCTATTTTAACATTCACTATAGAAACAATTCATTTCCATCATTAAAATTGTACTTTTTGAAACAAACATCATGTGTTATGTATAGAGTTCTGACAAACCTTAATCATATTTATATCTACACAAATTGTAACATATGAAATGAAGAAAAAACAATTACAAAATACCATTAAATCTTTTCCCTTACACTTTTTTTCCGTTTAAAGATTTTCATTGTATATTTTCTTATTCAAATAAAACCATTCTACAACAAACATCTTAAAGCACAAAGTTTCATACACAAATAATGTGGCAACATTTAACTGTTTTGCTTAACAATTTTACAACTTATAGAATCTTCACATTAACTGTGTTTCATAAGCTATTAAAAGCTACAAGAAAATAATCTGATACATTTGCTAGCATAAGTCAATTGTAACCATGGCACTGCACACCTTCCCTGAGGAACTGCAGGAACATTTAGATTTTCAAACCAGTCAGATAATAAAACCCATTCCTAAAGCCACAGCACTGCAATTCGGACATTATCCCAGTTATTTTGATGCCAAATTAAATCTGTGGTATTGACTTAGCAATGTGGTGATAGATGAAAGGAATAACTCTGCTCAGTCCTTCACTGGAATGCGAGACTGTGGTTACAATTTACAGGGGGGTGAATGTTGTTTATTCTTACCAAAAGTGACATTATGCTCACTTTTTCACTGTTGAGTTCAGCTGAATTGGCTTTTGGCTATTAAATATAATGTTTACTGACAAATAATTTATGATGAAAAATGTTTAGGATAAAATATAACAAATGCCTACAGCATAAAAAGCCTTCCCTACTCTTTTTATCAATTTAAAAGTAACAATACACTCTGAAGGCTATTTATAGAATTTTCTATGAGTCATGTAATTTATTGATAATACACATGAACTAGTCTATAAAATTGAAAACAATAATGGCAAAATCTTTAAGTTATTTCGACTTTGACCTGTCCATCACCATTTACACATGGACAGGCATAATATCACTTTAAATTCATAGTTGTCAAACAATAGATTACAAATTTCAACCCTGTTCTATTCAAACACGTTCAATTGACAAATTCAAACAATCATCAACTTTAAATCTTTTTCCCCATTGTCTTTTAGCTGAACCACAAGATTTTTATTTTATTTCCTGTCTTCTGATTTTTCTCAGCATGAGTTATTTCTCTTTATCACAAATATCTTGGCACAAGGTTTGTTTTCTAGCACTCAATATGTGTCAAACATCTACGTAAGTTTAAGTCTTCGTATTGGTTTTGCGTAGATTGGTTCCATTAAATGTAAAAGTAGGAAGATAACCATTCCAATCACCAGGAATAAAGAACATCCAGCAATCAACACCGATCGAAAGATGATTGAATAATCATATTTCTGAAAATAAAAATCATAAGAATTTAATATACAAAATAACTTTTATAAATCTCTATAAAACATCAGATACAGCAATCACATAAGGTAACTTTAAGAACTGATTAATTAAAGCCAACATTAGAACAATGTGTATGTAAAACAAAGAACATCATTGAATGGTAATTATATAATGGCCAATCTGTAAGTCATAATGATGAAACATTTTGAGGTTAACTTATATCTTAAATAAGCACACTTTCTCAATTGGAAAAACTGAAAGCCAATAAGGCACTTAAAATTCATAGCTGCAAGAAAACACATTAAGTAATATGTTATCATTTTTTGATTTGGAGTGCCTTTATAAGGCTAATTAGTAAACTAGCACACAAATTTTATAAAACAAATTTTAAGTGATCAATATGTTTAGAGGAGACTAGCCATTTCTGAAATTCTGATGTTTGCTGACATACATTCACTTCATGGAAATAACTAATGTATATAATGATTCTGAAACTTCAATTCTCAGTTTGGCTAAAAGATATTTGATTATTTAGGACTGATTAGACAGGGATTTAGGTGGCTTTAACAGATCAAAGGATACTTTTTTCAAACACTGTGGTATAGTACATAAAGATAAGTAAAGACATACAAGATATATTCAATTTCTTCAAATGATGAAAACACTGACACTTCATGTGATTTATGATTACAACGTGTCGAGTCATTATTTTGTGCAAAGTTAATCAATATGAGACAATCTGTAAGATCTGGAACAATGACCATTTAACATTTCAAAGTGCCAGCATTAGTTAGGTTACCTTTGATGGTTTATTCTGAAATGTTAACACAAGTCATAAACACTACTTACAAATACACTTTTGCAGTGATAAATATTTCTTCAAGTTTAGAAACTAAGTATGAGAATGGATTATAATGAAAGATAAAAAAAATCAAATGTTAAATGAGTGTTGACTCAACTACATTTAAAAACAAAGTAAAACAGTACTTAATTTACATTTACATAAAAACAACTATTTAGTCAGTAAATAACTTTAATAAGAACTTAAAATAACAACTTAAAAAAATAATAACTTATAAATCTATTATAATAATGTGTTTGACAGTAAATTAAGACATTTCATTTGAATAAAAGAATGTTCCAATATAGTTTTACAATCACCAAATACTTATTTGTATTATAGTTAGGGACCTTTCTGTTAAAAATGTGTCAGAAACATATACATGCAGTGCGTTAACTGGAGGGCAGGTATTAGTTACCTGCACTCCAGAGCATACACATTGATTGGCTCATTTT